ACGTGCTCGTCCACACTATTTTCGACCTGAGCACGTAAATTACAACCCGCTACCTTCCACCTAGCTAGCTGGCCGATTGGTTGTCTGTTTATCTATGTACCACCAAACCCTTTACTCAACCATTTTTGTCGCTTATTTTCATCTAATTTGCGTGCCCCACATGACTATTCATCCAGGGTGAAGATAAGCCTTGGGCACACTAGGGCATGACACACACGCGGTGTTGGGTTGTTGCTGCTGGCAAACAACAAGCAAGCTGGCAAGGAAGCAACCATATTAGCCTGTCTGCTTCTACATCTCCCTCTCATTCACTTACCCACTCTTCTTCTTACCGCCAGCACGTAGCAATATCGCATCGCCATTACGACCGCACCCTTGGTAATTCCTCTTATAGCAAGATACAAGGAGAAGAAGCACTCGATTCTTTTTGGACCGGCTGCCAGAGTGCTTTTAACCAACCAGACAACGTACACCCTTATTATGGTCCAATAAAAGGAAATAAGAGAGTACACTCTTATATATAATAGTGGCACACACCCACGAATGTTCATCCATTCGATCTACTCATATTAATTGTAACTCTTCCTCGATTAATTGTCAAGTAAATTACCTTTAGCTCCATCTTATTTTCCATATATTACATATAAGCAATGTTTAAAGAAAATTACAACCCGCTGTATGCAAAGATTAGGATAGCAAGGGAAAAGGTACTCACAAGGTGGTGGTACATGGTGGCGGCGGCGACGTCTTTGGGTGCGGCAACAACAGTGACTTGATGTTGTTGGTGCAGGAGAGGCAGGGGTGGCAGCGGCGGTTGTGCCAGTGCAGCAGAGGATGAGGGAGAGAAGAAGGAGGAGTAGTCTGGGTGGGGATGGGAGAAGACAGGGGAGTAGGAGTAGGAGTAGCCCGACAACACAGAAGAGTAGGCGGAGAAGCTAAAGCCCGCATCGGCGAACATCTTCTTCTTCTCTGTTGACTGTTGGATCTCTGCTTCTTGGCTTTTAAGAGGAGGAAGAAGGAATAGATGGATATCCGGATGGATGGATTGTTGGTGTATGAAGGAATGTATTGGGAGAGTTTGGAAAGGCCGCCGTAGGAAGGATTTATAGGAGGAGAAGAGGTGGGGGGGATAATGAGCGGCGGGGGAGGGGAGGAGGAACAAAGAGACAAAAAAGAAAGAAAATCCACGCTGGTGTCTCCATCTTGGTGGTGGGCTGGGTTGGTAAACTACTAGCAAGGAAGCAACCATATGGGCCCGTCCGGTTCTACATTTCCCTCTCATTCAATCACTCTTCTTGTCGCCTAAAAAACAAAAAGAAAACTCACTCTTTTGGTTACTGCCAGCAACTACCAATATCGTATCGCCATTATGATCGCACCATGGGTAATTTCTCTTATACCATGATAGAAGAAGGAGAAGAAACACTCGGTTGTTTTTGGACCGACTACCAGAGTGCATTGTAGCCAGCCAGCTAGACAACATACACCCCTCATTATGGCCAAATAAAAGGAAATAAAACAACACACTCTTATATATAATAGTGGCATACACCCATGATGTCCATCCATTCCATCCACTCACATTAATTGGTGGAATTCATCCTTGATTAATCGTCAAGTGAATTACCTTTAACTCCCTCCTATTGTATATATATTAGATATAAACAAAGCAACTTAAAGAAAATTACAACCCGCTGCCTTTCATCTAGCGCTAGCTGGCTGATTATACGCCGCCAAACTCTTTACTCATCCATTATTGTCATTCATTTTTATCTTATTTGTGTGCCTCAAATGACCATCCATCTAGAGGTCAGAGCCCCAAGCACGTTGGGGCGTGATGGCCATGTGCTCGTCCACACTATTTTTGAGCTGAGCACGCAAATTACAACCCGCTACCTTCCACCTAGCAAGCTAGCCGATTGGTTGCATGTTTATCTATCGACCAAACCCTTTAACCAACCCTTTTTGTCGCTCATTTTCATCTTATTTGCGTGTCTCAAATGAACACCCATCCAGGGTGGAGACAAGCCAGGGCATGACACCAACGCGGTGCTAGGATGTTACCGCTGGCAAACAACAAGTAAGCTAGCATGTAAGCAACCATATTATCCCATCTCCTTCATCTCCCTCTCACTAATTCACTCACTCACTCTTCTTCTTATTGCCCGCAACTAGCAATATCGCATCGCCATTATGATCGCACCCTTGGTAATTCCTCTTATAGCAAAGTACAAGGAGAGGAAGCACTCAATTGTTTTTGGACCGACTACCAGAGTGCATTGTAGCCAACCAGACAACACACACCCTCATTATGGTCAAATAAAAGGAAATAAGAGAACACACTCTTTTATATAATAGTGGCATACACCCACGATGTTCATCTAGCCACTCATATGAATTGTAATTCATCCTCGATTAATCGTCAAGTAAATTACCTTCTGCTCCCTCTTATTTACCATATTACATATAAACAATGTTTAAAGAAAATTACAACCTGATGCCTTCCACCTAGCTAGCTGGCTGATTGGCCGACTGTTTATACGATGCCTTCTAAGAGCATATCCATTATTTTTTCAACTGGGATTATAACTATTGCGAGAAATAAAATTCACATCACTAACTTCTTCATTAGTGATGGCATTCACGTTTACCTCTTCTTTACCTTTCATGACGGAGATGAGTTCTTCAAGCTTGGTTGTCAACTCCACATTGTTTTCTTCAATTGCATTCACTCTTTTGGTGGTAGTTCTTTCAACATGCCATTGGGCATGGTTTTCTTACATATCATCAAGTAGTTTCTTGGCATCATCTATGGGCTTTCCCATGATTGTTTCTTCTGCAGTTGTATAGTTTTTTATATATGATTTAAACCACCATAAAACATATGAAGGACTAATTATTCCTCCATGACATGGTTAGGATAGTTCCTTATGGCTTCTTTCATTCTATCCCACGCAAGCTCTAGTGGCTCACGTTCTTTCTGCTTGGAACCTGTAATCTAAGAACGAAGTTGCATAACTTTTGCAGGTGGATAAAACTTAGATAAAAATTTGCTGCAACAATCAGCCCAAGAAGTTACATTGCCTCTAGGTAAAGCTAGAAGCCATTTTTTTGCTTTTCCTCTCAGAGAGAAAGGAAATAGACACAACTTCAAAGCGTCTAGGTCATAATCTCTAATGCGTGTCATGTTGCACAATTCAGCTAAATTATGCAAGTGCATACCGGCATCTTCAGAAGCAGAGCCTCCAAATTGATCCTGTTGAACCATGGAAACTAAGTCGGATCGCGTCCGGCTGGTGCCAGCATCAACAACCGCCAACAGTCGTCAGTGGCGCTCTGCACCGCGGCCATGACCTCGGCCCGCAACCAAAAGTACGGCCCAGATGACAGTCAATCCTCCTGATCGTGCAAAGTGGCAAGCAACTTGGGAAGCACGCAAGACGAAGGCGACCAATCCTCCTGCAGGAATCGATGATGTCAATAAACTGATGTTTATCTGCATGCATGCTTTTATTGTGTTTTGTCTTGCGGGAATCAAATCAAAGTTGTTCTTCTCCTAGTGTTGTTAAACTGGGACAAGTTTTCTCGTTGAATTTGTGGTCTCTGGAGGGGAGTTCCATGCATGATTTGTTGAAAATATGTAATTCAATAATATGTGCTGCTCATGCATTGCAAAAACTTGTTTCTTAACTTGTGACATTTCTGTGTGATCGCTTCAACTGGTTGTTTGTTTGTTTGTTATAATCTGCTATCATTTTTAAGAGGGCATAAACATAAATTGTTTGTTGATCTCCTGTCATTTTTAAGTGAGCACCGGTGACAAGTTGATACATGACAATCATGGAGATAACTTAAACTCATCCAAATATAAGGATGCTTTGATAACGTCAGTATTGTTGCATGGTTGCCTTCACCTGCCTACTTCTGTTCTAGTATTTTTGGTAGCAGTACATTTAGAGTACTGAGTACCTGGGTTTCTACTGTAGAGAAGTTTCACTGACCTTTTTTTTCTCGAGTACGAGTTTCACTGACCTTTTAACGGGGGCTATGAAAATCATTTGTATATGATGGGTATCATGTGTGCGTAGATATATATTAACAATCATTTGTATATGGAAATACACCAACAATCATTTGTATATGTATTATGATGGGTATTGTTTTGTCTGGACCAACGCGACGATGTGGCAACATTCAACCTTGAACATTACTTTTCATATGTACTCCCTCCGTTCCAATGACTCAACTTTGTACTAGTACAAAGTTGAGTCGTCTATTTTGGAACGGAGGGAGTATATATCATTTTTGATGAATCTATACTATTTTCAGCTTACCACTCAAAATAATGTCTCATAATTTTTAGTCATAGTTATAAATGTTTGACTTGAAAAATTTGTAACAAATCCTGTATCTATGCACACATGCAGTATGTACAATAGAGAGTCCACTTCACCACTAGTGCAAATAAATACTCAAAATGAAACTTCCTAATTTAATGATCTTTCTTCCCAAACTCAGCAAAGTCTGTGTGCTATATACCCTTGAAATACGCCCTAGGTGTCCAAATTATATATTTGAGATGTCGTAAAAATTGTCACAGGGCCAGAAATGGGCCAGAAATACCATAACATACGACCTCAGCCTGGGCCCCAAAATAGCCATGAGGCAACAAAGTGATGATCCAACAAAATCTGCAAACTATTTTACGGCCAGGTAGAAAGCAAAATGACAGATCCAAACTTTGCATAATACTGTACTGTATTCATCAGATTTGGACTTTGTTTGTGAAAGCAAGCACAAAGGGATCAAATCAGTCTTCTTCCTCTTCTACACTAAAGAATGAATTACAACACAGAGTTGCGACACCGTAAACTTAATGTGTCATCCTAATTGCCGTTTTCCCCCTCCTGTGGCTCAGTCACAACAACCTAGTCTTCATCACGTCCCCGTTCCCTCCCTGGAGCGTCTCATACTCTCGTCGATCAGCTTGAACGTCTTCTTTACAAGTTTCTGGTCCAGCGCCGTCGTTCTGTAGATCTTGAACACCCGTAGATCTTGAACACCCGGTCCACACGGTCCGGCTTGCTGCTCTGGAAGTAGACCTCCTCAAATTTCTTCTTCACAAACCTATAGAAACAAAACACTATCAGTAAGCTAGCTAGGTAGCTCACAGATTTCTAATAATGTGGTGATAAGCGTGCACTCACTCATAGGCATGTTCCACATCCTGTTTGCCAGGCGCGATCGGCTCATAATCTTTAAACCACTCGCACACGGTCAAAGGAACCTACATAAATACACACAGAAATGTGAGAGCATGCTTGAGTATTATCACTACCAAGCTTGCAGCCCTCGGTGGGTACAAAAAGTGCTCCTTCGTTAGTCATTACCTTTTGTATTTTCCTCTCAAATATGTCGAATTTGTTGAGGAACAGCATGAACGATGTTTTCTGGATCAAAAACAATAACAACAACATCGCATCAAGTAAGATCCAGAAAAAATACCATGAGGTTGAAACAGGAAATTTGAAATACAGACCTCAAAACATCTTTGCTTTAGTACCCAGTCGAACAGTTCCTTCGTCTCCATCATTCTGTTCTGTGTCTCGTCCTCAAACAACAGCTGATCATACCTGACATTAACAGCCTCCAAACATTAGACCAAAGGCTGTCTGTCACAGGCCCTCTAGATTCAAAGGCATAGTTGAAAGATACTTTACATTGAAAGTAGATTTATTGTAATGGCTTTGCAGAACGTATGCTCTATTTTGAAAGTTCACATGCTTTGCAGAACGAATGCTCTATTTTGTACCAGGAAGCATCCATACATGCAAATATTTGCTAGTGTCAGTACTAATGAAACTAACTGAAAGGTTGCTTACATTTTAATTTGTATAGGAATGTACAAAGTTTTATAATATGCTGGTTTTAAATAATAAATTAAAGCCAAAGTAAGAAACACAACAGCTAAACCTGACAACCAAAAATATATCAAGCACAGGAAAAAGCTTTCAGATGCAACTTCCATGTCACTCCTTTTGCAGTGCTACCCACCACTCAGAACTTCAACATTAAGAGGTAGCTCAGACTAACTTGGCCGTTTAGAAATCATACTTACTCGCTAATGGCAGCGCAAAAGATGACGGCATCGACGCCTTCAAAAAGATGAATCCACTTCCTCCTCTCATTCCTTTGACCTCCTACATCGTACAACCTGTATACCTCTCCGCCTCTTTTACTCTCTCCAAGGGGGCTGCAGAGAAACTACACAGTTAACTTCAGTCTGTCATTCTGTATTGAGCAGAGCGAAAGACATGCAGACCTCAAGTAAATATATTACCTAAATTGAATTTCCACAACCCCATTTGTCCGTACTCTGGCATGGAGCACATCCTCCTGGAAAATATCTCAAAATGTTAAAAAGAGAAATACTGCAGATGTATTCTTAAGTAAGAACGGCAGAACAGCCACCGGCAATTTGGTGTTCATCTTCATCATTGAACAAGCATCAGTGCATAAGCCTATAGTAAAGGTTCTGATCTGCCGTCTGGTGTTCATCGTCTGAACACCAAAGTAGCTTTTGATCGACAGTTTACAGTTTGGTTTTTCATTCTACTGACCCTAGTTATGCAGTGTAATGGTCGCTCCTCCATCAAATATTCGATATCGAAATATTAGCTCCCAACAGTTTACAAAAGAACAAGGAATATCCATCTGACAACCTCAAACTCAGATGAAGGTTTCAGTACACTGATAGCCAATATCAAACAGATGATGCTCCAGACAGGAATTATATTGTGGATTATCACAGACCTTTGTTGGTATATAATCTGGTTCAGCTAATCGGTCCAGATTCTCCATGAAGTAGTGTGCACAATCAGGAACTTGCAGCACACTTCCACACGAGTAAGTTTCCTACAGATGCATTTCTTTATGATTAAATTGGCTGTTGACAGTATACATAATTCAGAAACTGAAATAAGAAGTTGTTTTCACCTGAATGGCTGAATCTTCCCATAATTTTCTTACATCCTGTACGAGTTCTTTGTTAAGGAGTGGGTAATCCAACCTGCCTCCGATTTCTGATAGTTTTTCTCCAATCTCCTGTAGATAGCAGAGCAGTACACCATAAATAAACAAACTCCATAATCTCAATGATACTGTAAGGCATACGATGTGAAGCTGGTAACCAGTATCCTTCGCAACAATTCTCAACAAGGAACTGGTTTCAGCACCATCAACAAAAAGGCAACAGTAAGGCCCTGAAAGCGCTTGAATCTAAAGAACCAACAATTTAATGAAAATTATTTGAGCTTATGAAGAACTACCAAGTTACTCCCTCCGTTCCTAAATATACGTCTTTTTAGAGATTTCAATATAGACTACATACTGATGTATATAGACGTATTTTAGAGTGTAGATTCACTCATTTTGCTCCATATGTAGTCCGTATTGGAATCTCTAGAAAGAATTAAATTTAGGAACGGAGGGAGTAGTATTCTTTCTCTGAAGAAGTCAAGTGTAATAAACAAGTAAAGTGTACATATTTCCCAGTTATCAGAAGAACAATAATTTGTGGAAAATCAAAGCACTGATACATAAAAAGGGCAGGTTAGAGAAAAAACTCTGTATATTTCATTGGGCTGAAACATATCCGAAAATGACAGTGGAAAAGCAGCAACATAGTTCGATTATAGCCTAGCTCTGCTTAAAGCAGGTGCAATGTCTGAACAGGTTCAATTATAGCCTAGTTCTGCTTCAGCTGTAACAAGTTGCGAGACATTGGTGTTTCAGCCCAAATGTAACTCTACTTACTGAACATAATATAATAGGATGTACAAACCTGATTATCCGGGGATATAACATGTTTTGAAGACTCAGTTTCCAGTTGGGCAAGCTCTTTAGCTCCATCATACAGTATCTGTGCAAATTAAACTCATTACTCAGGAAAGGATGTGCAGACACACTCCCATAAAAATAACATCACAAAGCTGCCTACATAATCTGATCCCCGCTAGGCAATAAGAGGAAAAATACATTAAAACACACCCTTTCCAGTATTGGCATACTTTGATTGTCTGGAACACGTTGGCATGGATGACCGGCATATAGCCCTTGAGTTCTGCCTCGTCGAAGCCGGTTCGAAAAAGAAGCTTAATCTGAAGATAAGCATTCAGTAAACGTAAGGCATACTATTTTGTCATGGGGATAGTGATTTTCCAGGGAAGAAGAATACAATGGGATTCTTGCCTGCTTAAATATCGTGGACTTTCCTGATTCTCCAGCACCTTAAAAAGAAAGCATCACCTATTAGGAATTGGTCCTGAAGCGTGCTAAAAAAGACGGCTATCGTGAATTGGTCCAAGTAATATTTCGTAGGATCATTGTTTTCAGTGTTCTATTAATGACAAACATGATAAGGCTAGCAATTTTTTCAAAAAAAAAGGAGATACACAAATGAAGTTGGCTACAAAGATTTAGTTGGATGAAGCAGTAAATTGTGAAGATAGAGCTTGGCAGTACCGAGAAGCAAGAGCTTGTGGACGTGCTGATCCGCCTTTGTCTCCTGCAGAATCCGCCGGTCGATGTCTGCAGACTGTGACAATCGAGGTGTGTGTATCAGGACAGGATAGGAGGAATCAAATCAAATCAATGAATCAAGTGCTGCAGACATTTAAAGTGGAACGGAATGGAATGGAATGGAAGGAAGCTTACTCTTGTGTTGTCGGCTGCCTCGGCCTCGTTTACGGAGTGAGGTCTGCTGCAGGAGGAGCCCATGGTTTGAAGCGCGCACGCGAGCATGGACATTATTATTCTAGACGGGCGCGTGGTCTCATGCTTCCTTGCAAAGACAGACAGACAGACGCCTAGATCCTCCTAGTGCATTCCGGTTGATGAGCGAGGCAGATAGCAGCTGTCCACTAGACAGACAAAGAAGGGTCAGGCACATGTTATTTTCTGTCCTGGTGCAAGCACATGTTATTTTTCTGTAAAGTCAATGGTTCAACTGTATTCCTATGCATGTCTCATGTTAAGCCTGTACTCTGTTATTGAATTGTATCCTTGTAGCTATCTATCTTTACCTGCAAGCTGCAACTTGAGCCATAGCCATAAAACTGAATTGAAGAGAGGAAAGCTGCTAATGCTAGTAGGGAGGAGGTGTTTGTCTGGTTCAGTGGAAAGGTAAACGTAAATGGGAACTGATTACGCACAAACCCCATTTTGTTTGGTTCTACATACAGTGTAAAGGAGGAAACAGATCAAGATTGAAAATGAACAAGAGATGGATTAGTAACCCTAACCTTGAGATCTATCTGCAGTAGGAGGGTGATGGAGAAGGAAGAGATGGGCTCCTCGTAGGCAGCTTCAATGGTCCGGCGTCGGAGGCGACTGATGTGGCGAGGTCGATCCCGGCGGCTGGAACAGGAGGAGAGGACCCAAGGGGGTCGCGGCGGCGGCGGCGGCGGCGGCGGCGAGATGGAGGGGATGAGTGAGGAGCGGGGGAGGAGCTGCCCCTATGGAAACCTTTTCTTTTACCCTGGAACTGATTACAGAGCAACCATGCTTTCTTTCCATCAAACCCCCTTTGCCCTGCCCATGTGCGCCCTAGGGAGTAGCACTTCAAGGCTAAGACCAACTCTAGCACACACCTTAAAACAAATATACTGTAAAAATAACTGCCGTTTTAAGATTTTAGAGCAAAAAGTCCAGATCAGATACTGTAAAACCGGGCATACTGTAAAAAAATTGAGGTAAACTGTAAAAGAAGCCTCACAAACCACATATGTTCAGTAGTAGCGGGCCTATCTTCTTCCGTGTACCGCAAACACTATAGAGCCTGGCGGGAGGGAAGTTCCCCTCGCCGATCTTCCCGCGCAGGCACGCCTGCCTCCGCCACCGGCCTCGCACCGCCCCGACCACCCCCCCCCCCACCGCCCGCTCCTCGGCATGGAGATGCACGAGGCCGTCGTTGTCCGTCCTAAGGTCGCGCTGTTGCATCCAGCAAGGGCAGCTCCGGACTGCCGCGGGCGAAACCGCCCTGCCGCCAGGCGAAACTGCGTCGCCGGCGCCTCCCACTAGTAGAAAACATGGCTTTGGTCTTGGGCAGATAAGAGCATTAGTTCCGGTCGTGTTACAAACCGGGACTAATGGAAGCATCAGTCCCGGTTCGAGAGGCTAGGCCGCCGGCCGGCCTCCGCAGGCATCAGTCCCGGTTTGGCTGGGACATTTAGTCCCGGTTCCAGCCATCCCTTTAGTCTCGGTTGGTGTCTGGAACTAAGACTAAATGTGAGGCAATTAATCCTAGTTTTAGGCGGACTAAAGTTTTGCCTATATATATGCACACACCCATCTCCTCTGTTTTTTGTCCGTGGAAGGGTGGAGGTGTGGGCTACTCTGTTTTTTGCCTGTATATGCACATGATGTGTTCGATGAAATGTCGGAGCCACACTTAAGCTTTCTCCTCTGTTCTTCCTCCAAGCTACATTTTCCCCAAGATTTGTCTAGGTTTGACGGTGCACCAACTACACAAGAGTTCTAAAAAGTTAGCAACTTTATCCTTTCATCTCTCACTGCTAGTTTAGCTCATTTCAAATGCTCTAGAAGTAGAGTGGCTTGTGAGTTTTTAGTGGAGGAGTGTATGTTGGAGTTGTTTTGATTTAGATGCACAATTTGATTTAGTTGTACGAAATATGTATGTGGCAACCGTGTGGCAGATTGTAAAACCGCCACCCGATCTCATCAACGTCCATGGAAACGATCCCGCCTGGCAGCCTAGATCGAACTGCGCCGTTCCGCTAAGTGGGATTCGATCCCTCAACCAACAGGTTCGCATGTAGGCTGAGTACCACTGGGATAATTTCATTCGCATGTGCACAAGTAGATTAGCTAAGTATTCAGGCAGTCAGAGTTCAGATGGATCCAAACCAAGATTGATGCATCTCGTACTCGCATAAATAGAAAAGCTTGGGCAACTAGATGCAGGAAGGATCGTTCTACTTGTCTCGGATGTGATGCCTATATACATGATCATTGCCTTGGATATCATCATAACTATGCGTTTTTCTATCAATTTCCCAACAGTAATTTGTTACCCAACATATGTTTTTTGTTGAAGAGAGAAGCCTCTAGTGAAAACTATGCCCCCCGGGTCTATCTTTATCATATATAAAATCCAAAAATACCTTCTTGTAATTTATTTGTCGTTCTTTTATTTTGTGTTATTGTTTATCTATCTACCATTATCAGTCTTGATCCTTGCAATTAATCGCCGAGGGGATTGACAACCTTGATCGCGTTGGGTGCAAGTATTTGTTCCTTTGTGTGTAGTCTTGTTCACAAGGTCTTGTGTGGTTCTCCTACTGGATTGATAACCTTGATTCTTAACTGAGGAAAATACTTATCTCTACTGTACTGCATCATCCTATTCTCTTTGAGGAAATCCCAATGCAGCTCACAAGTAGCATTAGGTGATATATCAGGTTAAGGATGGCCCAAGGTGTAGGTTGGTGCCAAGGCAGCCCATCGGCTGATATACAAAAGAGCAGCGGATGGGCAGGGTAACATGATGGTGGATGCAGGGGCGAAGGTAGGATTGGGCCAAGCCAGGAGTCGGTCACACTACACTGTACCTAAGGGATATGAATATTGTGTATGGGCACGTGGTCGTCACGCCGCGCGTGCATGGAGCTTGTCTTCACCCCTAGATGGATTTTCATCTGAGGCATGCAAACAAGATGAAAATGAATGACAAAAACGGGTGAGTAAATGGCTTGCCGGCATATAAAGAGCCGACCAATCAGGCAGGTAGCTAGATGGAATACAGTGTGTTGTTATTTTCTTTGAAAGTTGCTTATATGTACTATATATACAATAAGAGGAAATGTAATGTACATGGTGATTAATCGCGGATGAATTCTAATTAATGTGAGCTAGTGGATGGACATCATGTGTGTATGCCATTACATAAGAGTATATTCTTTTATTTCTTTTTGTTTGACCATGATCGGGGTGTATGTCGTCGGGTTGGTTACAACGCATTTCATTGGTCCAAAAACAATCGAGTTCTTCTTCTCTTTCTTTCACTATAAGAGGTCACCAAGGGTGCGGTCGAAATGGTGATGCAACAATGATATAGAAAGAAGTAGGGTGATTTCGGTAAAGGCGATGTGATACGTCTCCAACGTATCTATAATTTTTGATTGTTCCATGCTATTATATTACCCATTTTGGATGTTTATGGGCTTTATTTTACACATTTATATCATTTTTGGGACTAACCTACTAACCGGAGGCCCAACCCATATTGCTGTTTTTTTTGCCTATTTCAGTATTTCGAAGAAAAGGAATATCAAACGGAGTCCAAACGGAATAAAACCTTCGAGAGCGTGATTTTTGAAACGAATGTGATCCGGAGAGCTTGGAGTGCAAGTCAAGAAGCTCCCGAGGACCCCACGAGATAGGGGGCCGCGCCCCCCCCCTTAGGGCGCGCCCCCTGTCTCGTGGGCCCCTTGGGCGGCCACCGACGTACTTCTTCCTCCTATATATACCTACGTACCCCGAAAACATCCAGGAGCACCACGAAACACAATTTCCACTGCCGTAACCTTCTGTATCCGCGAGATCTCATCTTGGAGCCTTCGTCGACACTCTGCCGGAGGGGGAATCGACCACGGAGGGCTTCTACATCAACATCCTTGCCCCTTCAATGAGTTGTGAGTAGTTTATCACAGACCTATGGGTCCATAGTTATTAGCTAGATGGCTTCTTTTCTCTTTTTGGATCTCAATACAATGTTCTCCCCCTCTTTTGTGGAGATCTATTCGATGTAATCTCTTTTTACGGTGTGTTTGTCGAGATCCGATGAATTGTGGGTTTATGATCAGATTTATCTATGGATAATAATTGAATCTTCTCTGAATTCTTTTATGTATGATTGAGTTATCTTTGCAAGTCTCTTCGAATTATCAGTTTGGTTTGGCCTACTAGATTGGTCTTTCTTGCCATGGGAGAAGTGCTTAGCTTTGGATTCAATCTTGCGGTGTTCTTATGAAGTGACATAAAGGGTTGCAAGACACGTATTGTATTGTTGCCATCGAGGATAACAAGATGGGGTTTATATCATATTGCATGAGTTTATCCCTCTACATCATGTCATCTTGCTTAATGCGTCATTCTGTTCTTATGAACTTAATACTCTAGATGCAGGCAGGAGTCGGTCAATGTGTGGAGTAATAGTAGTAGATGCAGGCAGGAGTCGGTCTACTTGTTATGGACGTGATGCCTATATACATGATCATGCCTAGATAATCTCATAACTATGCGCTTTTCTATCAATTGCTCGACAGTAATTTGTTCACCCACTGTAATACTTATGCTATCTTGAGAGAAGCCTCTAGTGAAACCTATGGCCCCCGGGTCTATCTCTTATCATATTTGCTTTCAATCTACTTTTATTTGCATCTTTACTTTTTGCATCTATATTATAAAATACCAAAAATATATTTATATTATCATACTATCTCTATCAGATCTCACTTTCGCAAGTGGCCGTGGAGGGATTGACAACCCCTTTATTGCGTTGGTTGCGAGTTCTCAGTTTGTTTGTGTAGGTGCGTGTGACTTTTGAGGAGCCTCCTACTGGATTGATACCTTGGTTCTCAAAACTGAGGAAAATACTTACGCTACACTTGCTGCATCACCCTCTTCTCTTCGAGGAAAACCAATGCAAGCTCAAGATGTAGCAAGAAGGATTTCTGGCACCGTTGCCGGGGAGGTCTTCGCTCAAGTCAAGACATACCAAGTACCCA